ACCCGGCCACCAACTCTGCACCCTCTGCTGCAACTTGCCCATGCCCCCCCCGCTTCTCCTTCACACAAATTCAGACAGCTGATGTTTTGAAAGCGCTGCAAAATCTGGACCCCTACAAATCAGCTGGGCTAGACAATCTGGACCCTTTCTTTCTAAAACTAGCCGCTGAAATTGTCGCTAACCCTATTACTAGTCTGTTTAACCTCTCTTTCATAATGTCTGAGATCCCCAGAGATTGGAAAGCTGCCGCGGTCATCCCCCTCTTCAAAGGGGGTGACACTCTAGATCCAAACTGCTACAGACCTATATCCATCCTGCCCTGCCTTTCGAAAGTATTCGAAAGCCAAGTTAACAAACAGATCATCGACCATTTCGAATACCACCGTACCTTCTCCGCTATGCAATCCGGTTTCCGAGCTGGTCACGGGTGCACTTCAGCCACGCTCAAGGTCCTAAACGATATTATAACCGCGATTGATAATAGACAGTACTGTGCAGCTGTCTTCATCGACCTGGCCAAGGCTTTCGACTCTGTCAACCACCGCATTCTTATTGGCAGACTAAATAGCCTTGGTTTCTCAAATGACTGCCTCGCCTGGTTCACCAACTACTTCTCAGATAGAGTTCAGTGTGTCAAATCGGAGGGCCTGTTTTCTGGACCTATGGCAGTCTCTATGGGGGTGCCACAGGGTTCAATTCTTGGGCCGACACTTTTCTCCGTGTATATCAATGATGTCGCTCTTGCTGCTGGTGACTCTCTGATCCACCTCTACGCAGACGACACCATTTTGTACACATCTGGCCCTTCATTGGACACTGTGTTAACAAACCTCCAAACGAGCTTCAATGCCATACAACAATCCTTCAGTAGCCTCCAACTGCTCTTAAACACTAGTAAAACTAAATGCATGCTTTTCAATCGAACGCTGCTGGCACCCGCCCACCCGACTAGAATCACCACTCTCGACGGGTCTGACCTAGAGTATGTGGACAACTACAAATACCTAGGTGTCTGGTTAGACTGTAAACTCAACTTCCAGACTCACATAAAGAATCTCCAATCCAAAGTTAAATCTAGAATCGGCTTCCTATTTCGCAATAAAGCCTCCTTCACTCATGCTGCCAAACATGCCCTCGTAAAACTGACTATCCTACCGATCCTTGACTTCGGCGATGTAATTTACAAAATAGCCTCCAACACTCTACTCAGCAAATTGGATGTAGTCTATCACAGTGCCATCCGTTCTGTCTCCAAAGCCCCATACACTACCCACCACTGTGACCTGTACGCTCTTGTTGGCTGGTCCTCACTACATGTTCGTCGTCAAACCCACTGGCTCCAGGCCATCTATAAATCACTGCTAGGCAAATCCCCGCCTTATCTTAGCTCATTGGTCACCATAGCAGCACCCACCCGTAGTCTACGCTCCAGCAGGTATATCTCACTGGTCATTCCCAAAGCCAACACCTCCTTTGGCCGCCATTCCTTCCAGTTCTCTGCTGCCAATGACTGGAACGAATTGCAAAAATCTCTGAAGCTGGAGACTCTTATCTCCCTTAATAACTTTAAGCATCAGTTGTCAGAGCACCTTACCGATCACTGCACCTGTACACAGCCCATCCGAAATTAGCCCACCCAACTACCTCATCCCTATATTATTTATTTTGCTCTTTTGCACCCCAGTATCTCTATTTGCACATAATCTCTTGCACATCTAGCATTCCAGTGTTAATACTATTGTAATTATTCTGCACTATAGCCTATTTATTGCCTTACCTCCATAACTTGCTACATTTGCACACACTGTATATATATTTTCTGTTGTATTTTCTGACTTTATGTTTTTTTTACCCCATATGTAACTCTGTTGTTTTTATTGCACTACTTTGCTTTATCTTGGCCAGGTCGCAGTTGTAAATGAGAACTTGTTCTCAACTGGCTTACCTGGTTAAATAAAGGTGAAATAAAAAAAATAAATAAAAGACACTACTAATATATGCAATATTTCCTAGGAGATATTGGGGTCAGGAACACATACTCTTTACAGATATAATAATATATATTATTTTATAAATGAGCAGGCTTGAGACCTCCTGGTATGAGTGGTATTGTTTGGGTTTGGGGCCCAGACGTCTACTTGCCTGAGTCTCTCTGCTGGCATGGTCCCCTGCCCGGGTCTTTATCTCCCTGGCCACTTGAGCCGGGGAAGTGAGCCTGCCGCACAGAGCGCCTGGCCCTCACAATCACTGGAGCTCCTCCAACATTCCCTCACAGGCTAGTCAAACAAACCTTGGGAATGCCGCCTAACCGTGACTCAGTCAGTCCCCCTCTGTCTGCTCTGACTGCCGCACAGCGCCACAATAGGCACATTCCAGCCAATATCCCCAGCGGCCCAAGGAGCCACCTTCTCAATCTCCTGTATGGCGAAACCAAACAACAGCATCTCTGATGGAGGGCGCTGTGACCCAATTGCCACTGTGTTTTCATATTATTCTAATCAAGTCCAGGGTTTTTTCTATGGAGAAACTGTTACTTCCATCTGCATTAAGTACATATTTTAGGTAGCACCTCTTCTCCAGTTGTTTGAGCACAAACCACTTGCCTCTCTAAAGCCTAAACAAGAGGCCTGAGACTGGAGAGAGCATGATCCAGGCCCCACAACAGGACAGGCTTCGGTCCTTTCAGAGCCACGATCTATACCCATGTATCTGCCCCTGTATTTTGAAGTGGGGAAAGAGGAAACTGATCATTTTCCCCTCTCATGGTTGCATCATGTAGGACTAAGAGTGTTATACCAACGTGTTCCTTTCCACTTCTATACTGATATTATGTAGGGGAATGTGCTCCTTTTTGATTAACTCATGGACACTAATTTATTAGTACACAACACAACAGCGTGGATGTCTTCAAATCTTTGAAACAGTGAAGCAGCCCACTGGGGAGGCTATGTTTCCAGTGATGGCATTAGGAATGCGTGGACAGAGAGCTGTGATGGGATGGTGAGGCTGCGGCACTGATGTGCTGCTGAAGCTGCTGAAAGGGATCGCAAGAACCCAGCAAAGTGAAACCGATCTGTTTCAGGTTCCATTGACTCTTCAATTAGGTGTGTGAATTCCTCATCTGACTGCCAGCTCATGTACACCGAACGACGTTCAGATGCACGCTCAGCAGAACCCTACGGTGGATTCAGAGTGCAAGACAAAGACGAGACACATTCAAGAGCTGACAATGCCCTGGGTGTTACAGTAAGAAGCATTCATGCTTTGTTATCTTATTGAACCTGTATTTATCCAGGTTAGCCTCAATGAGATCTACATTTTTTTTTTACCTGGTCGACGACAGCAGCAGGGTTTAGTGTGAAAAATGTATCTCTATATGTTTTGAGTCCTCGACCTCATGCCTTATGTTAGCCAGTAATGATGAGTAATAATCCAAATAATTTCTCAACCCCAGCTCTCTTAAACCAAAAACAATAGACTGAATCCGTGAACCCTTTATGAGGCAGTCATAGAAGGAAAACACATACATTCCTAGAAGTAACTGCCCAACAGTTTTAATGGAGGAATTTATGGGCAGGGGCAGGGTGTGATTAAGTGGATGTGGCCATGTATTTTTGTAAGTTATCACAGACAGTTGACAGGAAGTGAGAGAGGGCCACAAACAGGAAGGAGCGGAATGTGCTTCCTGTTGGCTGATGGTGTTAGACAGGGCAGATTCCTTGTACCATCGTGACAGCCCCTCTCCCCTTGTAACACTGGCACACACTTACACCTGCGCACAGGGATGTTTTTCCACTTGAATCAGGGAGAAGCAGACTGCCAGCAAAGAGAAACCCAAGAGTAGATAACATTGAGAAACAGTGTGCCCACTATGCAACAAATGAGGCAGACCACCAGATTCAGTCCACAGCACAAAAATAGGATTTTCCTAAAGTGACCAATCACACTCTTCTCACTCAAAGGAGACAGTAAATGAACTGTACACACAGCAACTACCTATAACATCTCACTCCATTGTCGATACACTACTGCAACGAGATTAACATTCAGACCACTTGTTTCTCACTGAGCTTGAACGGGACGCACATCAACGAGAGTGCGGGCTGGGAGGGAGTTGAGCACTGCTGCTGCCTGGGAATATGAAATTAACATTGGTCGTCCTTGAGGGCTTCCTGATTTAATCACAAGAGCCCGATGACATCACAGGATTTCACTCATACTTCTGAAGGGGGCTGGATGGCTATGACTCACCCTCTCATTGTTGACTGTCTCCACAAAGCAGTCAGTATCATTCAGGCACAACAACAGAGGGAGACTGTGCACTGCACACCGACCGCCTAATGCCATTCCAATAAAATTATTTATTGGAGACGCACACAAATGCACCTTTTAGGAAGATTAAATATTACTGATACCTCTAAGAAGGATGACGAATCCTGAACATTTATACGTGTTTAGCTCACTGTAAACTTAATTCATTTGTGAATATTCTATTTGCGGTCTTAAAGACTAGGTAGTCAAGATCAATTAGGCAATTAGTCTACCTTCTCATCCATATAAACTTAGAACACCAGAGGTTGCAATATCATCTGTGCTGACTGGCACAATACTGGGTCTTATCAAAATATTTTTGGGGAAAAACCATGACACTGAAGGACAACCAGTGACCACTGAAAGTTAATATTTCATTCAGTGAAAGGAATACAATAAGCTCGATATTACCAACACCTTTATCTACAACATATGGCCTACTTAATGAACACATTATCAAATTCAATTCAAGTGACACAATGTTTATTAAAAGTACAACAAAACAAAGATTAAGTGCATATGCCCATTGACAATGTATTAGGCTTCATTGGTAAACAAACATATCTCAGCAACAGATCTTATGAAAAGGAACAAGACAAGAACCACATTGTCCTGTAGTCAAGGAATAATACCAAGATTTTCAGGTTTCCAGACAGTTACATCCAAATTCCACACAGAGACATGTTTCCTCATCTCTTCCTAATGAAATGGACAGCTGAGAACTGCCAAGGGTCAGAGAACCTGGTGGTATAGGTGGCCCCTGACATGCCTGTTGTAAAGACAGCGCTGACATCTCCCTCCAGTGGCTGTACATTGAATTGGAAACTATGAAACAAATCAGACATACTGTATATCACAGTGTTCTCAATACCTGGCTGGCCACATAAAAATAACATTTGGAAATGGCAAGTCTACCTCTTACTCAAAGTAACACAATAATAAATGGAAACATCTTCCTACATATTCAGCCAGACAGAACACCCCGTGTAGCAATGGAACTGTTATCATTGACTCCCTAAACCACCCTGTATGTGAAACGAAATCATATTAGAAATAACAGTTCAAATCAGATTCAGTTTCTTGGATACCTGTTCAAAAACATCACAAATAAGTGAACAGCACAAATTGGTGAACAGCACTGTTCAGAGATCAAAGGAGTATGAAATTACATCCTGGCACCTGAGCAGAGCTTCTTTCTGTACCCCAATGGGGGTCTGTAGTTCCGAAACTTGGAAGTTGAGCACGTCAATATCCGACGCTCCAAACTTCGCCTCAACCTTGACTCTCTCGTACATGTGGAATTGCACCTGCTTATTGGTCATGGCTATGAGCGTTCTCAGAAAGCTTTCTCTCAAAGCCGACCGTGCACGCTGCTCTTCCCCAATTTCGACAGAGTCAGTCCCTGTTAAAGTCGAAGCTGAAATAGTAGTTGGACACAGCGCGATGAAACGGGGTGAGTTCGGGTCGAATCCGCGGCCATTCGGATCAGGTCCTCTCGGGAGGCGAAGCACAGACACGAGCGTTCTCATTTCACCTTTTTTGTCGCTCTCTGCAATCACAAATTATGACAGATATTGGCATGATGTGCAAACAAAGTTAGATTAAATTGCAACTAAAATATAACGACACCAGCTAGCTTTGTTTGCTCTGTCTTAATTGGCTGTGTTGTCACATTCCCGAGCTAGCCAGCATGCTGTCTTGTAAAGCAGAGTCTAAGTACAATGCTGTAGAGCAAAACAAGCTAGCTAGTTTATGTTCATAGCTAGCAAAAGGAAGTCACTCGTATTTAATACTTACCGACTCAGAGTAAGCAGATTCTCTTTGAAGTCGGCCAAAGAGTACGTTTTATGACAATCGTTTGAGTTGACACACCGTACATTTTGTTGTCCCTCTGTTAAATGTGACCGGAAAATGTAATGTATTTTATCTTTGGTTCCGCAGTAGGCCACGCGACACAATCTTTGACACTGATGCCGCCTAGCGAATAAATGAGGGAGCACTCAAAAGTCGATGTGCACTGTACACCAAGGTAGTAGGCAGGCTGTGACTGTAGTTAGGCTGCTGGGGCAATGTGATGCATTTAGCTATCCTGTTTACTGTAGTGTCTGTATAAAAAAGAAATCAATCCTCCTACTTGATTGATCAATGAGCTTGCTCCACTGAGAAATTATGAGTCAAATTGAATTAGACATTGTTGGATATAAAATAGTGTGGGCTATGTTCAGTTTCAGGTGACAATAAAAATGAAGATACATTTGAATGTAAAGAATTGCATCTTATAACGAGGGGGCCTTCAAATTACTTTTGAAAGTGTGTGTGTGTGTGTTTTGGCCTCACCCGTCTGAGCGGTCGGCTGTGAATGCCCTCACCCGCTAGTACACAAGCTGATTCTTAGGTTCTGAACCTCTAATACAGGACATTTGGTAAGAAGTGGCGGATGCGCTTACTGTCTCCGTTCAGGGGTTTTAGTATTCTATCTCCACCACACACACACACACACACACTACACAATGCCAAACAAACCAAATATTCCTACATTCCTATGTCAAACCATAGATCCAGATATAGTGTATTGGATAGTTAACTCCTCAATAACTGCATTCATTATTTTTCTATGTGCATGTTGTTACAAACATTGTTTACCAGATATTTAAAAAAAAATTAGTGGTACTGGATTGTTCGTAGGCTACATTTGGTCAACTGTAGTGGCCTAAACGCAACCGTGGCCTAAACGCAACATTAGGCTATTCAAAGAAGTGTACTTCCTGTTTATGTCTCAAATTACCACAATCCAGATGGCCTGAGCATCTCTATCATAGTGTCTCTTCATTTACACCATTGGAGGAATGTGTCTGGAAATGATGTAGTCATTGAATAGGAATGGAGGCTGTGCATAACGTAACATCATTTCCAGACACATTCCTCCAATGGTGTAAATGAAGAAATGAGTAGTCATTGAATAGGAATGGAGGCTGTGCATAACGTAACATCATTTCCAGACACATTCCTCCAATGGTGTAAATGAAGAGACACTATGGTGTCAGGTTGTAATTTATAAAGCTATTTGACTTCAACCCAAAGGACCAGAGTTCAATAAACCACCATCCTATCCTGACAACTTACACTGAACAAAAATATAAACGCGACATGTAAAGTGTTGGTCCCATGTTTCATGAGCTGAAATAAAAGATCCCAGAAATGTTCCTTGTGCACAAAAAGCTTATTTCTCTCAAATTCTGTGCACAAATTTGTTTACATCCCTGTTAGTGAGTATTTCTCCTTTGCCAAGATAATCCATCCAGCTGGCAGGTGTGGCATTTCAAGAAGCTGATTAAACAGCATGATCATTATACAGGTGCACCTTGTGATGGGGTCAATAAACGGCCACTCTAAAATGTGCAGTTTTGTCACACAACACAATGCCACAGATGGCTCAAGTTTTGAGGTAGCGTACAATTGGCATGATGACTGCAGGAATGTCCACCAGAGCTGTTGCCAGATAATTTAATGTTAATTTCTCTACCATAAGCCACCTCCAATATCGTTTTAGAGAATTTGCCAGTACGTCCAACCAGCCTCACAACAGCAGACCACGTGTATGGTGTTGTGTGGGCGAGCGGTTTGCTGATGTCAACGTTGTGAACAGAGTTGCCCCATGGTGGCGGTGGGGTTATGGTATGGGCAGGCATAAGCTACGGCCAACGAACACAATTGCATTTTATCGATGGCAATTTGAATGCACAGAGATAATGTGACGAGATCCTGAGGCCCACTGTCGTGCCATTCATCCGCCGCAATCACCTCATGTTTCAGCATGAAAATGCGCTGCCCCATGTCTCAAGGATCTGTACAGAATTCCTGGAAGCTCCAAATGTCCCAGTTCTTCCATGGCCTGCATACTCACCAGACATGTCACCCATTGAACATGTATGTGATGCTCTGGATCGACCTGTACGACAGCGTGTTCCAGTTCCCGCCAATATCCAGAAACTTCGCAGAACAATTGAAGAGGAGTGGGACAACATTCCACAGGCCACAATCAACAGCCTGATCAACTCTATGCGAAGGAGATGCCAGTACGATGGTAATTTGATGTGTTGCGCTGCATGAGGCAAATGGTGGTCACTCCAGATACTGACTGGTTTTCTGATCCACACCCCTACCTTTTAAAAAAAAGATACTATATCTGTGACCAACAGATGCATATCTGTATTCCCAGTCATGTGAAATCCATAGATTAGGGCCTTTCAATTGACTGATTTCCTCATATGAACTGTAACTCAGTAAAATCTTTGAAATTGTTGCATGTTGCGTTAATGTTTTTGTTCAGCATATTTCATACCCTTTTCAACAGCTTTTCTCTTTCTTTCTTTCTCCCTCTGTTTCTTTTCATTATAGTTCCTCGCCACCTCATCCAGGTGGGCTTTCACCCTCTCCTTATTCTTCCTGACTTCTTCCTTACTCTCTGCTTTTCTAGCTCCGAACAGCTTTTTCACTTTGTTCTTCTCCAACATCTTTCTTTCTTTCCTCTCCTTTTTCTCCTGCTTTACCCTGACTCTCTGGGTGCTTTTAGCTTAATATATGTTAGACAGTGATCTGAGATATTATTATTACTCCTTCTCTAGCATGCAGTCAACTTAATCTATTGAATCCGATTAGGAGGTGACTTGTGACCTCCCTGAACTGTGACTGGTTAAATGGAGTACCGTACCTGCTCTTGCTCTCTGAACCTCTGAACCTCAGGACAGTCTGCATCTGGTACAGCTTTATGTATGCCTCCTTCATCCTCTCTTCCATATCTCTCTTCTCTATTGCCCATCTCTCTTTTTCCCTTTGCATTTTCTCAATTTCACCACTCTTTCTTTCTCTCCCACTCCCCAGTAAGCTCCCATCTCTCCCTTTTCCATCTTCCATCCCTTTTTCAGGCAAAAATCATAATATTTTCTTATTCCAGAGCCTCTATCACTTTCTCTTTCTCTCTCAGCTCAAGCATCCACTCCTCTGCTGCCTGCATGCTCCTCCTCTTAATCTCCTCCTTCTCCTTCATCCATCTTTCCCCCGTTGATCCCCAGAGGCTTCGTAGGCCAGCCTTGGTCTTTGCCCACTCCTCTCCTGGTCTGCTTTGGCCAAATCTGTCTCCAAACCATTTCTCATGAGGTTCCATCAATTCCTCTCCACCCTTTAATTCTCAGCTAACAGTATGTTGTTCTCCACTGTCACCTTTGCTATCTTGTCCACCAACGTTTGTCTGTCAGCCGCTGCACTTTCTCTCTGTTTGCCCAACACCTCTCGCTGCCTTTCATTCTCAGCTAACAGCCTCGTGTTCTCCATGGTCAACTTCCCTATCTTGGCCAAGTGTTCTGCATTGTCACCTTTGTCATCTTGACTTCTATCTTTTCTTTGTCTGCCATTAAGCTTTCTCTCTGTTTCTTCAAAATGTCTCTCTTTCATTCTCAGCTAACAGCTTAGTACTCTCCACTGTCACCTCTCCTAACGTGTCCAAGTTCAGTATGTTCTGAACCTTCAGCTTTGCCATCTTGAGCTCCATCTTTTTCTGTCTGACACTGCGCTTTCTCTCTGTTTCTCAAACAACTCTCTCTCTAGCTTCCATTGGTAGTGGTGTACCTCAATAGAAGCCTCAGTCTCTCTGATCTGTCTCAGCAACTCTTCAATTAGCCTTCCTCTTTCTTGATCTAGTTCCACCCTCACCTTGTTGACTTTCTTCATCTCTTCACTTTCAGTCATATCTTTCTACAGATCATTGACTCCTCTCTGGATCGATATACAGTGCATTCGGAAAGTATTCAGACCCCTTGACTTTTTCCACATTTTGTTACTTTACAGCCTTATTCTAAAATGGATGAAATATTCCCCCCCCCCCCATCAATCTACACACAATACCCCATAATGACAAAGCGAAAACAAGTTTTTAGACATTTTAGCAACTTTGTAAAAAAACTAAACAGAAATACCTTATTTACATAAGTATTCAGACCCTTTGCTATGAGACTCAATTGAGCTCAGGTGCATCCTGTTTCCATTGATCACCCTTGAGATGTTTCTCCAACTTGATTGAGTGCATGTCAGAGCAAAAACCAAGCCATGAGGTCGAAGAAATTGTCCGTAGAGCTCCGAGACAGGATTGTGTCGAGGCACAGATCTGGGGAAGGGTACATTGAAGGTCCCCAAGAACACAGTGGCCTCCATCATTCTTAAATGGAAAAAGTTTGGAACCACCAAAATTCTTCCTAGAGCTGGCCGCCCGGCCAAACTGAGCAATTGGGGGAGAAGGGCCTTGGTCAGGGAGGTGACCAAGAACCCAATGTTCACTCTGACAGAGCTCCAGAGTTCCTCTGTGGAGATGGGAGAAACTTCCAGAAGGACAACCATCTCTGCAGCACTCCACCAATCAGGCCTTTATGGTAGAGTGGCCAGACGGAAGCCACTTCTCAGTAAAAGGCACATGACAGCCCGCTTGGAGTTTGCAAAAGGCACCTGAAGGACTCTCTGACCATGAGAAATAAGATTCTCTGGTCTGATGAAACCAAGATTGAACTCATTGGCCTGAATGCCAAGCGTCACGTCTGTTGCAAACATGGCACCATCCCTACAGTGAAGCATGGTGGTGGCAGCATCATGCTGTGGGGATGTTTTTCAGCGGCAGGGACTGGAAGACTAGTCAGGATCAAGGAAAATATGAATGGAGCAAAGTACAGAGAGATCCTTGATGAAAACCTGTTCCAGAGCGCTCAGGACCTCAGACTGGGGCGTAAGTTCACCTTCCAACAGGACAATGACCCTAAGCATACAGCCAAGACAACACAGTAGGGGCTTCGGACAGGTCTCTGAAGGTCCTTGAGAGGCCCAGCCAGAGCCCAGACTTGAACCCGATCGAACATCTCTGGAGAGACCTGAAAATAGCTGTGCAGCGACGCTCCCCATTCAACCTGACAGAGCTTGAGAGGATCCGCAGAGAAGAATGGGAGAAACTCCCCAAATAGAGGTGTGCCAAATTTGTAGCGTCATACCCAAGAAGACTCGAGGCTGTAACCGCTGCCAAAGGTCATAAAATTACTGATTAAAGGGTCTGAATACTTATGTAAATGAGATATTTCAGTTTTTTATGTTTAAAACATTTGCTACAATTTCTAAAAACCTGTGTTATGGGGTATTGTGTGTAGATTGATGAGAGAAAAAAATGTAATCAATTTTAGAATAAGGCTGTAACGTAACAAAATGTGGAAAAAGTCAAGGGGTCTGAATACTTTCCGAATGCACTGTATATGGTGAAACATCTATTCCTAATAATATCTCAGCATATGAGGCTGCATGGACGTGTACACTTGCCTACATGTACAGTTGAAGTCAGAAGTTTACATACACCTTAGCCAAATACATTTAAACTCAGTTTTTCACAATTCCTGACATTTAATCCTAGTAAATATTCCCTGTCTTAAGTCAATTACGATCACCACATTATTTTAAGAATGTGAAATGTCAGAATAATAGTAGAGAGAATGATTTATTTCAGCTTTTATTTCTTTCATCACATTCCCAGTGGGTCAGAAGTTTACATACACTCAATTAGTATTTGGTAGCATTGCCTTTAAATTGTTTAACTTGGGTCAAACGTTTCGGGTAGCCTTCCACAAGCTTCCCACAATAAGTTGGGTGAATTTTGGCCCATTCCTCCTGACAGAGCTGGTGTAATTGAGTCAGGTTTGTAGGCCTCCTTGCTCGCACACACTTTTTCAGTTCTGCCCATACATTTTCTATAGGATTGATGGCCACTCCAATACCTTGACTTTGTTGTCCTTAAGCCATTTTGCCACAACTTTGGAAGTATGCTTGGGGTCATTGTTCATTTGGAAGACCCATTTGCGACCAAGCTTTAACTTCCTGACTGATGTCTTGAGATGTTGCTTCAATATATCCACATAATTTTCCTTCCTTATGATGCCATCTATTTTGTGAAGTGCACCAGTCCCTCCTGCAGCAAAGCACCCCCAAAGCATGAAGCTGCCACCCCCGTGCTACCCGGTTGGGATGGTGTTCTTTGGCTTGCAAGCTCCCCCTTTTTCCTCCAAACATAATGATGGTCATTATGGCCAAACAGTTCTATTTTTGTTTCGTCAGACCAGAGGACATTTCTCAAAAAAGTACAATCTTTGTCAACATGTGCAGTTGCAAACCGTAGTCTGGCTTTTTTTTATGGTGGTTTTGGTGCAGTGGCTTCTTCCTTGCTGAGCGACCTTTCAGGTAATGTCAATATAGGACTCGTTTTACTGTGGATATAGATACTTTTGTACCTGTTTCCTCCAGCATCTTCACAAGGTCCTTTGCTGTTGTTCTGGGATTGATTTGCACTTTTCGCACCAAAGTACATTCATCTCTAGGAGACAGAACGTGTCTCCTTCCTGAAATGGTATGACGGCTGCGTGGTCCCATTGTGTTTATACTTGCGTAGTATTGTTTTTTACAGATGAACGTGGTACCTTCAGGTGTTTGGAAATTGCTCCCAAGGATGAACCAGACTTGTGGAGGTCTACAATTTTTTTTCTGAGGTCTTGGCTGATTTCTTTTGAATTTCCCAGGATGTCAAGCAAAGAGCCACTGCGTTTGAAGGTAGGCCTTGAAATACATCCACAGGTACACCTCCAATTGACTCAAATTATGTCAATTAGCCTATCAGAAGCTTCTAAAGACATGACATACTTTTCTGGAATTTTCCAAGCTGTTTAAAGGCACAGTCAACTTAGTGTCTGTAAACTTCTGACCAACTGGAATTGTGATACAGTGAATTATAAGTGAAATAATCTGTCTGTATACAATTGTTGGAAAAATTACTTGTGTCATGCACAAAGTAGATGTCCTAACTGACTTGCCAAAACTATAGTTAACAAAAAAATGCGTGGAGTGGTTGAAAAACAAGTTTTAATGACTCCAACCTAAGTGTATGTAAACTTCAGAATTCAACTGTACATGCCTAAGGCCGAGACAATAAGAAGACAGTGGCAGAATAAATTCAACCACTCCTTTGTTGCATCACTAAACCGGAGAGCAACCTCTGTCCGGTGAAGTCCACAAAGCATATTACATGGTCAAGCAAGTTAATGTTTCTGAAATTTTCAGACTACTAAACAGTTATTGATTTAGAACCACGGAGAGTTACTGCAAGTCGCAAAGAAAACAGGAGCCGTTTCCACTACTCCAGCACCATTTCAACATCATAAAATCACCTATGCTTAGTCTAATGCATTGACAACTAAAATATAACAAAAACAATTGAGTCCAATCAACATAAGCTAAATATGATGTGGCTGTCCATAGTTCTGATGTGTGTGCGTGCGTGCAAGTAGAAAAAATATGTTGACTCACCCTACTTGTAGAGAAACGCCATTGCCATCTTCCTCTCTTTCATGGTCTATGACTGTCATAGGAGTACACTCTATTTTTTGTTGTCCTTGTCTACCTGGCTAAAATGCATGCTCGCTAGCCTAACCTCCTTTCATGGGCAACGTTTGCTGGTTAACATTAGCCTTTTACATCTAGCTACATATTGAACTTCTATCCTCTCAGTCCAGGTGCACAATGTATGAATTTATGGTTGAATCAGAATCGCGGTTATAATGATTGGCCAGTACGGAGAATTAAGTAAAACCACAAGTCCAAATTTAGGAAAGTGACAATTGTCGCTACCTAGCTAGCCACCGGATAACAACACAACAAGATGCAACAATTCAAGTTGTTTCTGCCAATGACGTATTTCTCTTGATGCAATGTGATAGGAGTGAAGCCAAATCCAAATTGGCTTCCCTTGACACTGTTTCTCTGGTTAGATACATTCATCCTCTTGCGAATTGAAGGACAAATATGAAAACACAGAGAGACGAGAGATTATATGTTTTTTTCTTGGTACATTTTTTGGGGAAGCCTGGCTTCTGGTCATCTCTCTTCATTGCTCAATCTGTTGATTCAAGGAATCAATGGGCTAAAACTCATCATTCTTATAGCTAGAACTCTCCAGATTCCATTTCCTTGAGTGCTTTTCATCAAAATAGAATGGATAAAATCCAATCAATTATAAATAGTCATCATTACATTTGGCTCTGAGTTCACCCAACATGACAGCACAATAGGCACCAAAATCTGAGAGATGATATGGGCTATTTTGGTAATGGGAGGTCAAATATTTTTCACTGCACAGACACAGCAGGAGGGGGAACATGTCCTGCTGTGGAGGGAAGGCTTATGACCCCAGCAGTGGCAAGGTGAAGTGCTGTGCAGGGACTGTACAACCTGCAGGTTCAGGACAGGCTCTCAGAGGAGACCCATTGCTGTGGGAGTGTCCTGATGGAGGCCGGCTCCACCCAGACCTGCTGCTCTGCCCCAGGGCTAGACCTGCTCTACCCTACCCAGCCAGGTTTCAGCTTCTGTGGGCACCGCTACCCCAACTCCTCCCTGTGGTCTTGCTGCGCGGGGGTCCTGCACCCAAGGCCTGAACCACACACCACCAGCAAGAACATGATTGCAGGTCCGTGGGAACAGGATACAATCCGAACTTGATTCCCATTTTTCATCGATCCATGATTTATGCCAGTTTGAGTTGCGTCTGTTTCTCTCTGAAAGGTCTCTGAAAGACCAACCTACAGGCCAGACGAGTGATATGAAGATTCTATATGTAGTTCATATAAGATAAAAGGGGTGTCTTTTGATGGGTCCCTGCTTGGATTCTGTCTCTGTCTTAGCCCATTTTGTCACGCCCTGGCTCTGGGGACTCTTATATGTTGAGCCAGGGTGTGGATTTTCTATGTTTTGTTTTCTATGTTTTTGTTTCTAAATCGCGTTGATCTGTGTTGGCCAGGGTGGTTCCCAATCAGAGACAGCTGTAGCTCGTTGTCTCTGATTGGGGACCATACTTAGGCAGCCTGTTGGCACCAGTTTATTTGTGGGATCTTGTCCCGTAAAGTTTGTTTTGGTGTTAACCTAGGACTTCACGTATCGTTTGGTTTGTTGTTTTGTTCGTGTGGTGTTGTGTACAAATAAAATGTATGCTTATCACGCTGCGCCTTGGTCCGTGTCTTCAGTCGACGAATGTGACAGAAGATCCCACCATAAGAGGACCAAGCAGCGTGCCCAGGAGGAGAAGATGGCGATGGGCAAATGGTGGTCTTGGGAGGAGATATTCGCGGGGAAAGGGCCATGGGCAAAGGTGAATGCCCAGGCAGGAGAGGAGACTGTGGAGACGCGCTACAGAGAGGAGCAGCGGCAACGCAGAGGGTACCGGCCAAGGAGGAAGCCCGAGAGACAGCCCCCAAAATGTTTTGTGCAAACGTAGACGTACGTCATGGGTGAGAAAGTAGAGAATATGAGTTTAAAGTTGTACCGTTGTTGGATCATGTGATAAGGTTTAATGGGTAATCGGACCATAACTAATGTGGTTATAGAAGTAATGTATAATATAGTAGACAGCCAAGAAAAGAGAAGTGAGTGAGAGTGAAAGAGAAGTGAAGGTTGAGGTCTCAGTGCCTCCCCCAGAGCAGAGGGCAGAAAGGTTATATCCAAACTTGGCAGACCAGGCATGGAGAGAAAATCCAGATGATGAGTACGTAGTGAGGTGAAGGAGAGTGCAGGGGAATAATCTCGCCCCCCCACCGGCCCCACCTCCCAATGAGGAAGAAAGGGCTGGAGGAGGAATGCCGAGACAAAGATTAGAAAGAGAACCACAGGAAAACAGATACAAAATAAGGGGATGTTACATAGGGGAATATACAGTGGCAGCAAACATGAGAATAATAACATATGAGGTACACATATGGAAGGAAAGAGAGAACAGATACAAAAGTTCAGATATGGGAAAAATTGAGTACGTTAACACAACTGGAGGATTTTTGAAAAGTAGAGTAATAAGGATATTGATCGGGGAGAGTAGGGTGTGGTCTAGTGACCCGAGGCTGAACAAACCACTGGGAATATACCTAAACACAGGAAAGCAAGAGTGGTTTTATAAATTTGAGGTAACTTACAGGAAAGTAATGAGAAAGATGGGGCGGCAGGTAGCTTAGTGGTTAAGAGCGTTGTGCCAGTAACCGAAAGGTCACTGGTTCTAATCCCCGAGCCGACTGGGTGAAAAATCTGTCGATGTGCCCTTGAGCAAGGCACTTAACCCTAATTGCTCCTGTAAGTCGCTCTGGATAAGAGCGTCTGCTAAATGACTAAAAATCTCAAATCTAAATCTAAAGATAGATGGAAAGTCAGCAATAGAGGTAGAGGAGACAGACGGAGAAGAGTCAGGTGGGGCTGGCAGTGGTAAGGGTAAGATGGGGCAATCCTATCCCTTAATAGCCCTGCCAAACCCCAGAGCAGGAGAAGACAACCAGCCTGATACCTTATAAGTATACAGAGCATGGACTCAGAGAGATGTAGTGAGAGCAGTGTCCGGGAAATGACAGTCTATTATTTTTGGTTCCACGGGTAAAAAGTTTGAAGAAGTGATTTGTGTCGATTAAGAATTGGCTAAAAACACCACAAATGGATTATTTGGGAGGTACCTATAAATGTCACGCGATATATGTATGAACTTTGTCACCCAAACGTAGACGTACGTCATGGGTGAGAAAGTGGAGAATATGAGTTTAAAGTTGTACTGTTGTTGGATCATGTGATAAGGTTTAATGGGTAATCGGACCATAACTAATGTGGTTATAGAAGTAATGTATAATATAGTAGACAGCCAATTTAGGGTTCCATTGAACTATTATGGTTTATTGGGGATTTCAATGGCATAAGGTGATATCTGTATGTATGAGTGGAATTCAACGGCTGGTATGGGTGGTAACCGGATACTACTGAGTATTTGGTTTGTTGATGTTGAATGGACGATTTGTAGCGTGTTTTGGGTTAAATAGAAAGGCTCACTTATTCAACTGAAATAGGTGCGGGGAGAGAGTTTTTGTGTTACTGAATGAGGTGAGAGTTAAACTACTGAGAATAGAGAAGTATTATGGACACTCCGTAATAAATAAACTGAACCAAACAAGACGTTACTACAGCAATAGAGGATGGTTAATGTTGTTACGTTAGTTTTTAAACCCGAGGATAGAGGTAAATGCAGAACGCTGTTTGAGAGTGTGTTTTATTTTTGCTACTAGGGGATTTAGTGTTTGAGATGAAAGGGCTGGCTAGTCCGGAGTGATGACGTGGCTGGCTGTGCGACATGGAAGTGGTTGTTTGGCGTGCTTTGAAAGGATCGCGGATTTTGTGGAGTGACTGGCAATGTATGTAGAGGGTCCCTGGTTCGAACCTAGGTAGGAACAGTGGGTAAAGCTTTCGCATTGGGGCTATGGACCTAGATTACTAGGTGAATTGAGAAATGTGAAAGGTTGAATTAGATAGCTTAAGTAGATAAATATTCTAGTTGTCTATGAAAATATGTTTTTAAGTAATAATGGGTTGTGGTTACAAGTACTAATGACATGATTTCGTAAGAAGGAAGATGATTAGGGCAGGTCCCCGCGCTTCCCCCGTTGTGTAGGAAGGAGCAGGGGGGAGGGGTGAGAGACAGTACATAGTTCAAATGATAGGAATAAAATTAAATGTATGCTATCAACGATAGCAAGTATTTGTTTTATTAATTAGGGCCTAATCAGAGAGAACAGTTAAAGAAATTGAATAGCGAACTGAAAATTGCTATAGAGTTGGGACAATTATTTGAATTGAGAAAAAAACTGGTAAAATAGTTGTACTTGCTTGACTGTATCGAGCAGAAGTTTGAATAGTTGAATGAAAAGCATTTCTTTGACAAATTCTAATGGTTATTACTTTATTGTATACGTTGGGTAACACCAGTGGTGTATGAAAATAATTGGTGATTTCTAAAACGATAATCTGTTTATGGTACGTTGAACAATGGGATATAGTTGCGACTATTAGGATGATGAATTGAATAAACATTGGTCATAAGTATGAAGTTATTAAACAATAGGTTTATATTTAAAAAAAAACATCAATGCAACAGGTTGCGATTATTAAATTAATAAAAAGGGGTTATAGGTTTATATTAGAAGGTGTAGTGAACTTAATGAAACGTGGTATTATATAGTGTCTTCCAGGATTGATGGAAGTCTCCTATAGCATTATGTTAAGGGGATGCCTGGGATAAAATGTAATGTCTTACTTACACAGAGTATGTGATTGTATTGGCTAATGAATTAAATATGACATTTACAGGGGCGACAGGAACAATAGAAGGGGAGACAGATTTTCCTATGGTGTTGATCAAATAATTGATAATGGATAATTTGATATGAGATCACATGGAGCAGATTTAGGGGTTCAATAATCATTGTGAGATTTAAAGAGGATATGATCTGAAGGGTAATCAATTAAACATAATCATTGTATACTCGAGGAATTTTGAGTGGTTTTATGGATTAGTTATGAGGAATTAGATTGATACAAACGATTATTGATGAGTTAGGCATTATTTAGGTCATAAAAGGGAGCTACCAAATTAAGTGGGGCCTGGCTATGTTTGGTTGTTGTTTTTTAATTGGGGTTTTAAAATAAAAAACAACACACCTAGTATGATGTTTTTAAAGGGTTGTTGTTTCAATTTTGGGGGGTTTTCAGCAGGTCAAGGGTGATAGGTCTTGGAGGAGCGCACACAGTTGTTCGGTTTTGGCTGAGTTTGGGGTATATATGATTTCTTATGAGAATGAATGTCATGAGGACTTAATGAACACTTGGGATAAGTAACATTTGTGAAATATTTAGAATGATGGTAATGTTTGGTATACTATGGGATGGAACAGTTCGTTGAATAATTTCAATAGCCTCTGAACTCTGTTTTAACTTTCTGGTGTTAATTAATCATCCACACTGGTAAATTCTAAAGGCATGAGAGGAGGTCTTTAAGATAGTTTATTTTACCAAGTTGAGGGTAATTTATAATACTGTGAAAAGTGTGAAGAAGATTATAATTTGGTAATAATATATATGATTTGAACCATAAAACAACAGAAGAGAGAGAGCTTTCCCTGAATGAGGGATACCTGTTGCTAGTAAATTTTACTAATCTTGGATTACTTTTACGGGATAGAAGTAAATTGAGGTATTATCAAATGTTGTCATTCAAATTTCATTTTTATTATGCTTTAATAAACAACAAGTTGGTATTTGAAACTTTTGTGAAAAAGAAAGATGGAGGGTTGCGCCCGTGCATTGATTACCGTGGTCTCAATCAGATTACTGTGAAATACAGTTATCCACTCCCTCTGATTGCGACCATGACGGAGTCATTGCATGGAGCGCGGTTTTTCACAAAACTGGATCTCAGGAGCGCGTATAACTTGGTGCGCATTAGGGAGGGCGACGAATGAAAGACAGCGTTTAGTACCACGTCAGGTCATTTCGAGTATCTTGTCATGCCATATGGGTTGATGAATGCTCCATCAGTATTCCAATCCTTCGTAGATGACATTTTCCGGGATATGCAGGGACAAGGGGTGGTCGTGTACATTGATGATATTCTGGTGTACTCGTCTACCCGAGCCGAGCATTTAACC